CAACTATGTAAGTTAGAACTCTATGGTTGTGTCTAGACTGGCCAGTTTTTCCGGAAAATCAGCCGCTTTTCCAGAAAAACTTGCCAGCTGTCTACACTGGCCACTTGAATTTCCACAAAAGCACTGACTTCCTACTGTAAGAAATCAGTGCTTTTTGCGGAAATACTATGCTGCTCCCGTTCGGGCAAAAGTCCCTTTTGCGCAAAACTTTTGCGCAAAAGGGCCAGTGTAGACAGCTGAGATTTGTTTTGCGCAAAAAAGCCCCGATCGCGAAAATGGCGATTGGGGCTTTTTTGCGCAAAAGCGCGTCTAGATTGGCACGGACGCTTTTCTGCAAAAAGTGCTTTTGCGGAAAAGCATCCGTGCCAATCTAGACTCTTTTTTCCAAAAATGATTTTAACAGAAAACTTTTCCGTTAAAAGCATTTCCGGAAAATCATGCCAGTCTAGACGTAGCCTATAAGTAAACTATATTGTTCTCAACAACTCTGACAGCCCAACGTGCATAGGATAATCCTCTCTATATGAATGTGGAGGAAGGCTATTAACGCAGATTACTATTCATCTGTGGTTTTACATGACAACTCCCTTGTCGGCTCCATAAATACTGTGCAAGTGGGAAAAACTATATGATTACACCGAGACCACGGCTGGTCTAGTAAAATCATTTATGGAGTGAGAAAACACAGAGTGATCTGGGCTGCAGCCAGGCACTGTTGTTTGGTATACAAAAAGGGGTTTCTATGGATTCTATTAATAGGTCATGGCAATTATACACTAGGATGTCAAATGTAAATCTCTTCGGAGACTGCGTTGGGTTGGGTTTCTATGAGCTTTACAGACAATGCTGCTGACTTTCTTGCAGCAACTAATTGTTAAAAACCTAAGGAGAAGGGGGTCAGCTTTAGGATTTTGCCTGCGTGGGGATGAGGAGCGTGGTCAGCAAGGGTATTTTTACAAGCTCTATATCCTTCACGTTTAGTCTTTTCCTCCCTCCCAGATCCACCCCCTTGGGGTGAAATCGAATCCAAAGACTTTGCCTCACTTACTCTGTCTTAAATTCATAAGTGTTAGGTGGGATTTAAACCCAGGGGCTTTGTGCTGGGCTCTCTGTGCCGAGGTGAATTTCATCCTTAAATAAATGCTGACGGGAGAGGGGCAGTTGCCCCAGGGCCCCAGTGATTTAAAGGCGCCTGGGGCTCCCAGCCAGTGGGGCAGCCACTGGGGAGCCCGGGACCCTTTAAATCCTTGCCAGAGCACTGTGGGGGAGGGGGTGCTGTGCTCTGTGTGGCCCTGTCCCCTCTCACACCTTGCTTAGATGCCCGCAGGGTCCCTGTGTAGGCCCATGTGAAGTTTCCTTTAAGGGGGGGGGGAGCACAATGGAGCCCTGGAATGCACATTGTAAATTTAAAGTTAAGCCTGGAATAGCCTTAGGACACAGGTTATGCAGCAGCAGGCTCTTAAGACAACCTTTGATACCCCTCACCTTGCTGCAAGCCTAAGGATGGGGTCACGGAGAATCCCATCCAGGATTTTAAGCCAGGGGTGGGAAACCTAAGACCTGGGGGCCTGATGCACCCCACAGCTTGCCTGGATAGAGCCCCCAAGACTCAGGACACCCCCCTCTGCATTGGGGAGCCCACACTGGTGCTCCAGCCCCCTCCCAGACCTCTTGCAGGGCTGGAGCACACAAAATCTACTAGTCCAGGCCCCCCTAAGATCTGGTATGCAAGGGGAATGTGGGGAGCGTCTTTCCCCTTCTCTGTTGGGGGCCACGTCAGTGAGGGGTTTTTGGTTTTGGGGTTTTTTGGGTTTTTTTGCTTTTCACTTGTGTGCAGCACCTTGGCTGATTTTTCTGTGGATCAGCGGCCCCCAACCCCAAAAAAACATTCCCCACCCCGGTAAGTATTTTTAGCTTGCTCCACAAAGGAAGTGAGGCACAACCAAAGCAAATGAAACAACCCAATCCCCCACATGGCCCCAGAGTTTCTGCCATGCAGAGAAGGTTGATTTCAAGGGGGGTGAAGGGCGGTGATACAGAGAATGCTGGGGTCATGGCCTGTCCCAGGCTTTGGGACTCAGCGGTTCCCCTGCTGGAAGTCCGTGCTGTATTGTATACCCAGCTTTGCAGTTGTTGGAGGCACACGAATGTGTCCGTCCTGCACTGCACAGAGCTTAAGCTGCGTCCACACTACAAAACAACAGGGCTTGGACCCAGGTCACAGTGGGACTCTTGGCCAGCAGGATAGGGGAATAATGAAGACTATTTAATTGCAGACAGTATCAGGGGAGCAAACCGCCAAGAGGCACCCAAACAAAAGTGGCCACGCTACAACAGGGTCTTAGCACCTGGGTCCTAAGTGCTTGCTGACCTCCGCCCCCACCTGCTTGGTATGTGCGGAGAGCGGGGGAGGCCTGGGTCCGAACGCAAGCCGATCCAGATTTAGCTTGCAGTGTAAGCATGGGTGGGAGGGGCTCCACTTTCGCTGCACCCTCCTGACTCCAGGGACTCGGGGAAAGGCGGAACCAGGCAGCAGCTGCCTGAGCCCCACTGGCTGGGGCCGCCTGGTGTCCCCGCTTCCGCCCCCGCCTGCCGTGGGGCAACAACTGGCAGCAAAGTTTCCTTGCCTGTGCGGCTCCTGCAGCAGCCTCCGCCCTCGGGGCTCGCAGCCGGGGCGGCCCTGATGCTGGGACTTGGGTTCTGCCGAGGAGTAGGCGCTGACCGGGGCAGAGGCATGATCTGACCAGGAGCCCGGGCGCTGCGCTGGGTGCGTTCCGCCTGCCCCGCTCGCTGGTGCAGCAGAAGGTGCCACTATGGAGCGGCAGGTGTGAAGGCAGCGTTGGAAGAGTAAGGCAGGCAGCCCCCTGCTCCCGCCCCTTCAGGTCCTCTGCCCAGGCCTGCAGCTGGGTCTCCTCTCCCCCTGTTCCCAGCGCACAGAGCGCGCCTGCTGCAGCCCCAACGGAGTCCTGTTAGGGTCTGGGATGCAGCCCCAAGTTGGTCTCGGGCAGTAAGTTTGTGTCCTGCCTCCCTGCTCCCTGGCAAAACCCCGTTCTTCCCCAGCCACAGGTTTCCCGTTGTGTGTTAAAAGTTGGAGTGTTATTAACCCCCCCACACACACACTCGCAGAAACAAAAATCAGGCCTACGTAGCACTTTAAAGACTAACAAGATGGTTTATTAGGTGATGAGCTTTCATGGGCCAGACTCACTTCCTCAGATCAAATAGTGGAAGAAAATTGGCACAACCATATATACCAAAGGATACACACTCGCAGAGTGCTTCTTCCTCCGCAATCGTGGAGTTTCTGTTCACGTATCATTATACAAAGTTGTAGTGTTACAACCCCCCAGCACACACACGCGTTGATTGCAGGCTTCCTGCATTTCCGGGTCCCTGGGGAGCTGGTTGCATGAATAATTTAAGTGCCAGGAAAAGCAGCTACTGTTGGGAGGCCTGGCATGGGAGAGGAAACCCTGCTGGCGCTTGTTCGGCCCCGATTCACAGCGTTCTTCATGGGAGCGCTGAGACATCCATACCGGGGTGTCCTGCTCAGCAGCCCACCCGAGTTAAACGGGGAGGGGCAGGATGGTTCCTCTGCTGGGGCTCTGCAGAGCACTTCAGGGGAAGGTCTCCATGTCTGGAGACACAATTCTAAATAGGCAGACGTTCCCCACTCACTTCCTCACCAGAGCAGCTCAAGTTTGGATGATGAGACATGGCTTTAGCTTTTCCAGACTTGGTAGCGAGGCCATTGTACATTTTCCCCTAGAAATAACCTGGATCTAACAACAAAGGAGGACGAAGTTAGTGCTAAGAAAAACAATGCATCTGATAGAGTGTATTTCCCCACAAAGCTTAGGTCCAAATAATCGTGTGGTCTGTGATGTGCCACAGGACGCCTTGTTGTTTTTTGCTGATATGGACTAACACAACTATTTTGCTGAGACTTAGATCTAATAGATTAAAAAATATTTTGAGCTGAGATATGTACGGAGTGGAGTTACAGGAATATGTAACATTGTAGAACAAAGTTAGTGCTAACAAAACAATGCATCTGACTGTTTTTTTACTCACAAAACTCAATAAATCGGTTGGACTGTGATGTACCACAGGACGCCTTGTTGTTTTTGCTGATACGGACGACCACAGCTATCTCGCTGAAACTTAGATCTAACAGATTAAAATACATATTGAGCTGAGAACTCACGTGAACTCTCAAACAGTCCAAAGTCTAGTGGGAGTGGATAAAGATCACAGAAATACTCACGTGAAATTTGCATTCTTTCTGTGTACCAGCCTGGTTGGTCAGGCCGCTACAATGTAGGGACACTGTTTTTGTTTTGTATTTGTGCAGTGCCTAGTACTACTTGTTCCTGATCCATAATTGAGGCTTCTAGATGCTACTGAAATTCCAATAATAATTCATGGACCATTGACCAATTAATCAATTGTATCCAACAATAGGCTTGCCCTAGAGGTATGTACAGAGTGGAGTTACAGGAATATGTAACATTTGTTGGGTCACATGCAATCCCAATTTAACTAAATTACCCTTTGCACTCATTTGGTCCCTGATGATTTGTAATCGTAAGTCTACAAGTCCCTGTGTGGAGCATGTAAACAAGCAGAGCTTCCTGCTCTAAACACCTGTCAATGGAAAGGTCGGATTCCTTTTATCTGTTGTGTGTGTGATGTCTATTGACATCCATACAGAGTTGGACAAGTGCTACAGATGAGTCCCAGAAGAAGCTCTGCTCTGATTCCTCTTATCTGTTGTGTGTGTTATATCCTGACATCAGAGGGAGCTCCCCATGCAGAGTTGGACAAGTGCTATGTGACTACAGATGAGTCCCAGAAGAAGCTCTGGGGTACAGTCAATGAAAGGGGACGGCGCAGGAGGATTTGCATCAGGTGGAGGTTTGAAGGCAGGAAGACAGAGGGTGTTTGGCACAAGGAAGATTGTTCCGAGTGTGGGGTGCAGGAGGATTTGCATCAAGCGGAGGTTTGAAGGAGGGATTGGCAGGAAGACAGAGGGTGTTTGGCACAAGGAAGATTGTTCCGAGTGTGGGGGTGTGGCATGAGCAATAGGCCATTACAAGCCAGTGGAGCTGAGAAATATGGCACAGACTTCCCTCTCCGCCCAGCTATTTTTGAGCAGATTGCAACATAGAATCACTTGCATCTTGAGCCGTGCAGGTTGATGTTGCAGGGGAGTTGATTTTGCTAGCACCAAACTTCAGACAGACGGGACTGGACTAAGAGCTGACGTGTAAGGGGCTAGAAGTTCATGCCAGTACGTAGGCGTGAGCCCGAGGGAATCTGAAATTGGTGTATCACGTAAATAGAAAAAAGTGTCTCTCTCACCGGCTAGCTATGCTTCTGAATTTGCCTTAGAAGTTCATGCCAATACGTAGGTGTGAGGGAATCTGAAATTGGTGTATCATGTAAATAGAAAAAAGTGTCTCTCTTACCGGCTAGCTATGCTTCTGAATTTGCCTCACTGCCACTGAATTTTCTGATGCCATCCTTTCCCTCTTTATGCGACGGGATGTCGCTTTGCAGATAGACCTGATTTAGTTCATTGCAGGGCAGATCATTCTTTCCTTCTTTATGTGTTACAAGGGATGTCGCTTTGCAGATAGACCTGATTTAGTTCATTGCAGGGCAGAAGTTGCCTGCAGGAGGAGTTTTTGCCTGAGTAAGAGCTGAAAATCAAATGCTCCCTTCCCCTTTTGTAAGTGCAGAGCAGAGGATGTGGTTGAGGACTGTGGAGTTCTGTGCAGTCATAGAAGGAAGCAGGGCCCTGGAAGCATTGTAGAGGAAGAAGACTTGGTTTCCAGTGGAGTTTCTAGACTAGTTTGTGCTGATTTGGGATTATCCAAGGGGTTTATCTGGATTAAACCACCTGCCTGTTCCATGGAGGGCACAAGGGGGAACATCCTGGCAGAGTGGGCGGTAACTTGTTGATTTTTCCAGTCCCCTTAGGTACCGGTTGTGGCTTAGGGACTTTAGAACCAAGGAGTATTATACTGGTTTCAGGCCTGCCAGGAGCCGTGTGCAGAGTTCATCTGTACAGAACTGCATCTGCACAGTTCTGCAGTCTGTTGCATTTAGGGGGTTGATAGCGTCTAAGAGAACCTTTGTGGGTGCCAAAATGCACAGTTGAGTGGGGCTGAGTGTTTGACGGTCTTTTTAAAGACACTTTTATATGTTCTTTGTCTAAAATTGTCTTTCAACTCTATTGTTCTGGCCTGCAGCCATCTTTAAAAGGCACAGGCACCCAGGCTTAGCATTCTGGCAGCAAGCCAGCTACTGCCAGGACCCTGAGACCACGCAGCTCTGTCCAGTCAGGCAGCTCGGAGCCATGTCCCAGGGACAAGCCTCCCAAGACCCCCAGCCCTTCCAGGGTTAGCATTCTGGCAGCAAGCCAGCTACTGCCAGGACCCTGAGACCACGCAGCTCTGTCCAGTCAGGCAGCTCGGAGCCATGTCCCAGGGACAAGCCTCCCAAGACCCCCAGCCCTTCCAGGGACATATCCCCGCAGGAAGCCAGGGGCACCAAACGCCAGGCGCCCTCCTGGTCTGGGCCCGAGATAAAAGCCCTCTTGGAGCTCTGGTCTGAGGAGGAGGCTCTTCCGCTCGCACAGTCGAGGCGCAGGAACGTGGACATCTAAGCCAGAATGGCTGATGGCCTGGCAAGGAAACGCCACTACCCCCGCACCGTACCCCAGCTCAGAGCCAAGGTGAAGGAGCTGCGGCTGGGGTATGTCAGGGCCTGTGAGCGCAGCTCCCACTCTGGGGGAGCAGCACAGTCCTGTGGAATCTGCTGCAAACCCTGGAGAGGGGAAGGCCTTTAGTCACTCTTCTCCAGTGACTTCAGCACTCCAGTGACTTTTGACCTAGACTCCATGCAGGGGAGTTTCAGTGGAGCTGTAATATTATCAAGTCTCCATATAAGTATCTCAGCTTGATTTCTTCTTTTTTGCCCTGCCTCCCAGATACTGATTAAATTACAAACATAGAACAAAAATTGTACACAATGTCTGCTGGGTAGCACACAGATGGAAACATGATTTCTAGACGGATGAAGAGGGGAAATATGGAATTCAGTGTGGTTATTTTTTTATTACTGTGAGACCTCAGACACTCTTCGGGCTTCCCGGAAAGGTCTATCAGGCCCACCAATCCTGAGACTAGCAGTGCATGGACTTTCCGTGAACCCCTGCTTGTTTGGTTTTCGTTTAAAGCAACGCAAGATGAAATGGCAGATCCTGCTGTCTCTGTGAATCCCTTCAGGAAAGCATCAAAGGAATAATCCAGCTTGCAGCTGCAAGGACTGAGTTACCCGTTGTGGCAGAGCAGTGAGTTGGCTGCATAGCTTCACACCTGCTGCGCAGCAGAACTTGCCAGCCGAGCTTGTGTTTCCCTTGTTGCAATCATCTGTCTTGAACAAGTGCCTGTTTTCAGATCTCTCCACGTGAATGAAGCGCGGCCATAAAAAATAAGGTGGTGGAGAGCGCTGTGGTCCTGCTGCCCACCCCCGCTGCACTTTACAGATGTTGGGCTGGCACCTAATATTACTAGTGTTGGTGAGCCAATGGGATTGTTCGATAGGCTGACTTTCACTAGGGGAAGTGTAAGGAGTGGGAGTCCGGAGGACTGGCTTCTATACTTGTGTGCCATTTGGTGGCTGCCTGATTTGGGGCAAGTCTCATTTTTTGTAGTGTTGTTTCCCTCTCTTTAAAAGAGTGTTGATGATACTTACCACTGGGGGTACTGTGAGGCTCAGCTCATTAATGTTGCAAAGCGCTTTGAGATCTGCAAAGACTGCATCAGAGTGTGAAATTTTATCTCAGTCCAATAGAGTAAAATCTGTTCTATTTGTCCATGAGTCTGAATGCTGTATGGAATTCATCAAGTACAGCATCCATACCAAACTGAAGTTTTATCAGAGCTGTGTTTTATCACCACTATTATGTGGATCAGAATGCTGGCGGATGACAGAGTACGACCTCGATAAATAGACGACTTTTCACACCAGAAGTCTTCGGTGGATCCTCTGTATTTTTTGGCCAAGAGTCATTTCAAATCAGGAACTGCTTGTGCGGTGCAAACAAGATGACATGGCTACCATCATTATGAAAAGACACTGGAGATGGATTGGGCATGTGCGCAGGAAAGATGGAAGCTTCATCACAAAGATTACTGTGCACTGGACCCCTGAAGAAGTGGAAACGAGGCCGACCCAAGACAGCATGGCACTGTACTGTTGAAGTAGAAGTGAAGAGCAGCAATCACACTTGGGGCACTATTGAGAGGCTGGCCAGAGACAGACAGAAGTGGAGGACCTTTGTTGCCGCCCGATATGCCAGTGGGTGTGATGGTGGTGATCTATTTGTCATTTGGTGTAGTGCCCATGCATGTGGAATCAGTTTGCCTTTGAGAGATGTCTAAAGCAATGTGACTCACAGATGTTCTGTGTGGTTCAGTCTCCATTCCTTTCCCTAGAAAGGGAAAGAAAAGTCCTCTTCTGTTTGGATGGGACATTGTAGAGCAGAGGATGTGGTTGAGGACTGTGGAGTTCTGTGCAGTCATAGAAGGAAGCAGGCCCCTGGAAGCATTGTAGAGGAAGAAGACTTGGTTTCCAGTGGAGTTTCTAGACTAGTTTGTGCTGATTTGGGATTATCCAAGGGGTTTATCTGGATTAAACAGAAATGTTCCCAAGTTCTGCAGGAGCTGAACTCTCTAGGGGTGTGTCTAGACTATAGGGTTTTGTTGACAAAAGTGGACTACACTACTGCCGAGTTCTGACAACAGTAAGTCGAAAGAACACGGCAGTTTTGGCAGAAATGTTCCCAAGTTCTGCAGGAGCTGAACTCTCTAGGGGTGTGTCTAGACTATAGGGTTTTGTTGACAAAAGTGGACTACACTACTGCCGAGTTCTGACAACAGTAAGTCGAAAGAACACGGCAGTTTTGTCGACGGTGGTAAACCTCATTCTATGAGGAATAATGCCTTTGTTGACAGAATTCTGTTGACAAAAGGTCAACAGGGACGCAGGGAAGAATTTATGTCAACATTAAAGGCCTCCATGAAGAAGCCCTGGTGGACACTCCTGCCACATCTTTCAACTCTATTGTTCTGGCCTGCAGCCATCTTTAAAAGGCACAGGCACCCAGGCTTAGCATTCTGGCAGCAAGCCAGCTACTGCCAGGACCCTGAGACCACGCAGCTCTGTCCAGTCAGGCAGCTCGGAGCCATGTCCCAGGGACAAGCCTCCCAAGACCCCCAGCCCTTCCAGGGACATATCCCCGCAGGAAGCCAGGGGCACCAAACGCCAGGCGCCCTCCTGGTCTGGGCCCGAGATAAAAGCCCTCTTGGAGCTCTGGTCTGAGGAGGAGGCTCTTCCGCTCGCACAGTCGAGGCGCAGGAACGTGGACATCTAAGCCAGAATGGCTGATGGCCTGGCAAGGAAACGCCACTACCCCCGCACCGTACCCCAGCTCAGAGCCAAGGTGAAGGAGCTGCGGCTGGGGTATGTCAGGGCCTGTGAGCGCAGCTCCCACTCTGGGGGAGCAGCACAGTCCTGTGGCACTCTGGGGAAGCAGCACACTACTGTGCCTCCTACAAGGACTTGGACAGGATCCTGGGGACAGGGGAACGAGCTCTGGTCTGAGGAGGAGGCTCTTCCGCTCGCACAGTCGAGGCGCAGGAACGTGGACATCTAAGCCAGAATGGCTGATGGCCTGGCAAGGAAACGCCACTACCCCCGCACCGTACCCCAGCTCAGAGCCAAGGTGAAGGAGCTGCGGCTGGGGTATGTCAGGGCCCGTGAGCG